ACCTAAAATAGCAAGCGAGTTATGGAAGCGAAAACAAGCAGTTAGCCAGATGTAGAATGCCTGAGATTAGCACGTTCCATTGGTTTGTGGTTGAGCTATTTCTTAGAACTCAAGGCTGTTTTATCTTTTTAGATATTTCCCATAAGTGAAAAGACGTTACTGTTAAAATAACAATTCTTAGCAAGATGGAGTAACTTAGATTAAGTTGCTAATATAGTTCACTACAGAACATCTCACTAAGCTCTAAACACTCAATGGCCTTTCCAGTCCAAAGTTCCAAAACCTTCCACAATCCTCCTAAAAACAACTGGGTGGTCACAGCAATAGCCTACTCTCTGGTACCAATTTGTATTCTAGTTGGCTTTCATATTGCTGTGATGAAAACACTAACCAAAACCAACTTGGGGAAGAAAGGGTTTATTTGGCTTACAGGCTTGTTCTCTGGCCTGTACTCAGACTGCTGTCTTATACAACCTAGGACCACAATGGGCTAGGCCCTCCTACATCATTCAGTTAAGAAAATGATCCCACACACATGGCCACAGGCCAATCCAATGGAGGAAATTCCTCAAATGAGGTTCCCTCTACCCAGGTGTGTCAAGTTGACAACTAAAGCTCTCCAGCACACACACACACACACCCTTAAAGCTATATGTACGTTATGTTAATTTTGCAAAAATTTATGTTACTGAATTCTCATTGTAAGAATTTTTCATTATTTTGCTTTCATCAATCATGGTTATTATTTTTCTTAAAACTTTTTATAACTCAAAAGATTGAATTGTAAATGCAAAGAAAAGTAGCAGGTAGCTACTATCAGTGAGATTAATCTGAATAACATTGGGTAAGTAGTAGTACAGGTGTAAGCCTGCCATTTTAAATATGGAGATTAGGAAAACATCATATCCAGAACCATCTCTTCCTTGCCATTTGGGCATCATCTGTTCCCTCTGCTGCTTGCTAATATGAAGACACTATAATGTTTGCTGTGAGGTCCTCTTTGGGGAGGGATTTAAATTTGCAATTTAAATCACAAAAGCAAGAAGTTGTTGGTACATATTAACTTGCCCAAGTTCCAGTTTTACTGCCCGTGTTTGTTGAGTAAGCTTTGATATGTAAGTGAAGTAACTCCTGGTATCCATCTTCATTCCTTTGTCATTACATCATTATGTAGACATTTAACACCAAAAAAGACATGAAATGATTGATGGTTTGGGTAGAGCCTGTAGGTTAGCAGGTAGCAAATTCCAGAAGCAGGCCCCTCCCTCTCTCAAACCTCTTTGTCTCTCCCAGCCCTTTTGGAAACAAACACCCATAACAGAATGAGTCAATTCCTTTAAGACTACAGATACTTATTGGCAGTTAGCATTCTTGTGATTCAGCATTTTCTTACAAGAATATTCTACCTTTATTCCTGGCTTTGCCTAATGTATATTCTTTTTTTTCTCTATACTGCTGCTCAGCTAATCCCAATCAGTAAATCCAGCAGATTGGCCAGAGGCAAAACTGTGAATTAGCTGTTGTTGCATTTAGAAGCTCTCTCCTTCAGTTTACCTTGTTTCCAGAATGACCTCCGCTGTGTGCCTTCCCACAGCGCACACTGGGGCAACGTCTATGGGTTGGCCTCTGTCAGTAGTCTGTAAACTGCATCTTGACCTTGACCTTAAGTTTTTCCATCTTTGGGTTTTGTTGTTTGGCTCTTTCATGACTTACTGAATTAATGACTGCAGAAATTACTCAATTAACTGGGACATAAATGTTTTCTTTCTTGAGATTAAAACTAACTCTTAGGAAAAGACTTGAAATATTTTAAATGGGAAGGTAATTGGCTATTACCAGTTTTTAAAGTACCACTTGAACAGATTTATATTTTAAAGGAAAATTAAATTTAAAAGAATTCAACTTTTCTAGATTTTTTTTTAAAGTAATCCAGAAATCTGGGAAAGACCCAGGACCTGGGTTCCTTCTAGAGAGACAAACCTGTAGCTCCTCCACCCTCCACCCATACGACTGAACGCCCATGTAATAATAACCCTGTATTATGCACTGAACACATTCTTGAAGGCCTGAGAAAGAATGACTGGAAACTTCTTCAATGGCAGTGATAACATGAACGCAAGAAATTCAGGTGTCTAACTCTTGAATTAACAGTCTGTAATCAGATATTTAAATGTGTAAGGCCCATTCTGTGAATTTAAGAATGTACAAAGAATTGAGGGTGGGCAGAATTGTTAGGTACCTTACACCTCTATGATGCAAATAGCTACCACCTACTAAAGCATCATGGTTCATTATTAACTTTTAAAATTTAAATCTTTTTTTCTGCCAACAAGTATTTATAAGGGTTATTTGTTAAGCTGATGTTTTCCAATATCATTGGGCTCTCTACAAGTGTCTGTGGCTTGTCTAAACTGTTGGGGTTTTTTGTTTCAAAGGGACATGGGTACAGCATAAACACTGATAGACTGCAGCATTTAAGCCACATTACAGTTACGCTGTAATAAAGAACAGCCTGACTCTTAGCATCCATTTGAAGGCCAAGCGTTGACTCGAACTGCTGAGAACCTGTTCCTTCAGAATTCTCTCCGAACTGTTGTAAAACAAGGGACTCATTTTTTTCTGAAACAGTATATCCGGATGAAGCAGAAATTAAAAGATGAACCCTTATTTTGTCTGGAAAGAATTTTGCCCTTTGATCTCTAGACCTAGAATACCACACACACAGCTACAGTTTCCTTCAGTTTGCAATGAGAGAAGCACTGTTGGCAGCACTTTGATATGGAAAGTATACATACACACATTCATGTATTAGTTTGGGTGGAAGATATTGAGGGATTAAGATCATATGTCCAGGTCACAAGATGAGCACTCGGCTCAGTGAGCTTGTTTTACCTTATGTTTCAAGATTAGGTAAAAGTATTTGTGCAGCCAGGCATGGTGGTGCACTCCTTTAATCTCAGCACTCAGGAGACAGAGGCAGGCAGATCTCTGTGAGTTCAAGGCTTACGTGGTCTACTTAGCAAGTTCTAGGTCAGCCACAGCTACATAGTGAGACCAAAAAAAGTTATTTGTCCAGAATCCATCTATATTATAAAAGTTTCATTCCTATGATGCACTTTGGCAAATAGTGTAAAAGATCTTGGACTGTCATGTACTTGGCCAGAATTTTGACTCTTGAATTTCAGTCCTTATTTGATAGCTCAGATGAAATGTGATGGATAATGTCAACAGCAGGCATACTCAGACCTTCTTCCTTGGTGTCTATTTTAAAGAACAGTACCATGCAGCCCTCATAAAACTTCCACAGAAAAGCTAGCTTCCTGCAGTGATGTGCTGGGGTGGTAAAATCATAGGGCCAGGTAACCTTGAAAGCCCTTCCAGGGATGGCTTTCCCTGTTGTCACTGAGGAGGTGAGTGGCCTTGTGTCCCTTGCCCCTTTCTCCAGGTAGTCTTTTCTGCTCACTAGATTCTATGAGAGAGTATTTCTCTCCTTAACATGATTTGAGTTTTTCACAGATTGGTGGACTATCAGCCACACGTTGAATATCTCTGTAAGATAAACATTCATGGAGATTTTTTAGTCATAAATAACTGTTATGTGTAATTAAGGGCAAAAAATATATGAACAATCTTTTTAAATTTGCTTATTTATTCTTATTTTATGTGTATGAGTGTTTTCCCTACATGTATATAAGTGTATCACGTGTGTGCAATGCTCACAGAAGCCAGGAGAGATCAGATCCCTGGGAACTGGAGTTAACAGATGGTTGTTAGCCCCCATGTGGGTCCTGGGAACTGAACCCACGTCTTCTGGAAGCGTAGCCAGTGCTCTTAACCACTGGGCCATCTTTCCAGCCCCAGCAAATAATCATTTTTTTTAACTGACTTAGAATAAGCAAGGTTGTTGAATGTCATTGGTGTTCTGGAAGTTCATAACTCCTGAAATTCAGAACCTGATTCAGCAAAAATTAGAAAATTAGAAAACTATCTGGTTTCTCCATTGGAGGAAATAACATCACAAGAAATTCTAACATAGTATTTATCCTAATTAGTCTCCCAAAGATAAATATTGACTCTTCCCATTTTGATTTCTGAAAAGAAGTATATTCTTAGAGTTTTCTTATCTTCTGCTTTGGTTAAAATCAAAAGATTTGAGCTCCTCCTTAGAGTGTAGATAGATTCCCACAAGATCTATGAATTTTTATTTTGGTCTTTTTGAGACAGGGTCTCCCTGTCACCCTAGGAACTCACCACATAGAACAAGCTGGCCTTGAACTCACAGAGATCTGCCTGCCTCTGCCTCCCAAGTGCTAAGACTAAAGGCATATGCTACCACACCAGCAAGATCTATGAAATTTTAAAATTTTGTTACCTAGACAATGAAAGATTTATGGAAGTTGCCCCAAAATCCTGAGGAACAGTGCTGCCTTGCTGTACTGTGACATATCCTACAGGAAATGATAGGTGTTGTCACCTGAGCCTTGTACTTTAATTTTCAAAGACAAATAAAGTAGTGTCGACACTATGTTTCTTGAACCTATGGAGAACACTCCTATGTGGATTGGCTTCCTAAGATGAAATGTACAGCGAACTTGGAGTTGGCTACCACACTCTATGGACTCATTTGTGTGATTATTTAATATTCTGTTCTGTATTGCCTGCCAACCATTCAGTTGTCCTAGCTCAAATTCTACGACTAGCAAACAAAGTCCCCAGGGAATGGCAGAAACCAAAGGAGAATATTGTCATTGGTACATAAGAGGATTCAGACTATTTATTGTCAACCTGGAGTGGACCCCCCTGTTTAGTCACCTCCCCTGGAATGCCTTTCTCAACACTGTACACACATCATCACGAGACATTCTGCAATTTACAGTGCAAGCATAGATCTTTTCTCATAAATGAAAATGTGGGGATTTGGGGGATGGAGTCACTAACCACACAAAACAGCATCTGTGATTCTGCTCACATTAAATAGGGTGAATGCTTTTCTTTTACAGAGGAATTCAAGGGCTCCACCGTGGTGGAACTCATGAAGAAGGAAGGCACCACTCTCGGCCTGACAGTATCAGGAGGAATTGATAAAGACGGCAAGCCAAGAGTGTCCAACCTGCGACAGGGAGGGATTGCTGCCAGGTAACTGCCTCATGGGGAAACAGAAAAAAAGGGACAAGGATAAAATTAATTTTAACAATCAGAGCTTTATTAGAAAGGTCACTGATTAACAAATGACAGCTGCCATCTGCCAGGCAGCACCTCCCAGCAGCGGCACAGCGGGCATGCCTCAGGAGCAGCTCCCCAGATCTGCCAGTGGCTCTTCTGGACTGCGCCCAAGCCACTGGGGAGTTTCGTGTCCCCTCAGGAGCAGCCCAGCTCTCACAGGTTTAATTTTGACAGGATCTCTTGGGTCTAGGCCTGGCTGTGCCTCTGGACAGCAAATGGGCTTCCATTTAAAAGTGACATTCAGATCTTCCACTGTGAAGCAGATGACCCATGTGACTGAAGAAACGGAACAGGAGAAAAATGACTAGTGAAGAGGAAAGGGAGGCAGGCGTGACTCCACATTTCCAAGGAAAATTTTGCTTTTCTGTTAACAAGACTTCCTTTTCCCCAAGACTAAGAGATGCTTTCCTAAAGGACAGACGTAGTGGAGGAAGTTCTCCGTCTGCCCTTGTGTCTGGTGACATACATTTCAACTCCTATCACTGGTCTCACTACCTGCCCTTAGTCTGGAAGTGAAGCACTCTAAAAGCCTCAAAGCAGCGGCAGTTCTCTATTGGTGGTGAAGAGCAACGGCAGTCTGCTGGAACGTGGGGCTTCTGGTGCAGTTTCTTTCTTAATAATTCTTTTTTATCAGTCCTGCTCATAATGGTGTTTCTAAAGGTTAACAGTAACTGTTTCCTCAGCCCTAGCTCTGGCTCTACTCCCAGTGAAGACATTGAAAGCTATGAAATATCCAAAACGCAGGCAGCAAAATTGAGAGGGAAGAAGGAAAGACTTGCAGTGACTAGGATCAGGATCCATCCCCAGAGAACAAACACTGTAGGAGCTAAGCAACCAAGACGTTTGAAAGTTTCTCTTTGTTTTGTCTGATGCTGTTTTTAAAATTAGAGGCTTCTCTAACGAGAAGCAATCCAAGATAGTGGCATGCCAAGGGCAGAAGTCCCCAAGTGTAACAGGCAATGTGAGCAGGCAAGACCCGCTGACTCTTATCCATCCCCGGCTGCACTCCTGCTCTTCCGGGCCAATCCTGTTCTAGGAAGCAGGGTGTTTACTATGTGCACTCACTAAGCCAGTTTATGAGGGGAAAGCCTGTGGAAAGGATGTGTCCATTATACCGGCCTTTTCTGTTTTACAGAAGTGACCAGCTGGATGTGGGGGACTACATCAAAGCCGTGAATGGGATCAACCTGGCCAAATTCCGCCATGATGAGATCATCAGCTTGCTAAAGAATGTGGGAGAAAGAGTGGTTCTGGAGGTGGAGTATGAGCTTCCCCCAGTCTGTAAGTAATCACAGCCCAGGGAGAAGAGCAGCTGTACCACATGGCTTCCTAGAGCAACCGACTTCTTCCCCTTTTCACCTCAGCCATCACTGTACATGCCCACTCCCTCCCCTCCAACATTCCCCCCTCTGAAGAAGTAACCCTAAAATCTTTTAAGGATTAGATACAAGCTCCCAAATACTTTTGACATTTTTGGCCTTTGGAACAGAGTGTGTTGCTAACAGGCCCAAGGACATTTTTACTTTTAGCCGAGAAACTGGCTACATTTCTTTGTGGTCTTTTTACCCTAACTGCCTAGCCAATTCCTACCTCCTATTCTTCTCATGCCTATTTTGGTTTTATGAGACAAGTTCTCCTTGTAGCCCCAGCTGGCCTGGAACTCTCTAGGGAGACCAGGTTGGCCTTGATCTCAGAGACATCCACTTGCCTCTGCCTCTCAAGTACTGGGACTGAAGGTTTAACACCACCATGTCTGGCACATAGAGAAGTTATTTGGTATTTAAGCTACTTAAAATGAGAGACATATAGTCTCTTCAAAAAGAACTTTAAAAGCACAGTTAGCAATGAAATGATGTAGAATCCATGTTCCATTAAAATGATCTGTGAACATTTTTGCCACTCAAGTATTTTTATAAACAATTACCTTTTTTTGTTTTTTTGTTTCTGTGCATTAAGTACTATCCAAATTTTGTGCTTTGATTTAGGATGTGTTTACATGTTTTATATTGACTTTTAGATGGGTAAGTATACAACTCAAACAAAAAACATTATTATCAAATAACCATAATAGTACTGATAAGTGCAAACAGGAAAATTTGAAATTTGGCATTCTAAGGAACTTGATTTACACTGGTTTATGTAATCCTTACCACAGAGATGGTGAACACAGATGACCTTTAATGTGTGAAGTGCAGGTTCAAACCCCAGATTCACTTTTTATTTGCTGTTATGTCTTTGAGAAAGTTGTTTAAGTTTTCTAAGTTTCCATAATTGCAAACAGGAATATTAGTTGCTTCTCATAGATTTGTTAGGAAAAGTAACTGAGTTAGTAGTTATAAAATGCCTAGAACATTACTTGACACTATAAAAGTTTTTAACAAATAATATATCAACCAATCAAAACTACAAGATAGAATGTTTTTTCAATTTATTTTTATTTTTTAAACTATGTGTATGTATGTGTGTCTGTGCATGGATATGTACATGTGAGTGCAGCAGGTACCCAAGGAAGCCAGAGGTGTCAGATCCTCCAGGAGCTAGAGTTACAGGCAATTGAGAGCCTCCTGATAGGGTCACTGGGAACTGAACTCAGATCCTCTGGATAAACAGTATGTACTCTTAACAGCTGAGCCATCACTATAGTCCCCATAAGACAGAAAATTTTTTTAATCTATCTGAAAATTCTTTTTCATTCTTCAGAGGCTTAAGTATTTCTCAAATTAGTAGACTCAAAGTATTTGAACCCAGATTTTCTGCCTCCAAAAGCTTTGTGTTCATTCTCATGAGGTATAACTTATTCTGTGTGTTATTGTTGCCTTGTGAATAAACTGTCCTATTCTAGTATCACATCTATGATAAACTGTGAGCAGTGATACAACCCTGGAAAGCTCTTGGCTCTTTCCTACCAGTGAGAACTTGGATTCATTATGAACAGTTGGTAATAATTCATTTGTTCAGTAATGAGTTAATGAGCATTTAGTATGCTCCAACCACCGCTGCATTCTAAGAGTATGGGGCACATCAGTAGAGATTACATCCTGGGAAGGGAAGACAGATACTAGAAAAAAACATAATAAACAAATTATAGCCTAAGAGTAAGGAAAGATAAGAGAAAAATAAGTCAGAAAAGGGGTTGGAGGTGATTGGATTGGGATCAGACTAGTTTTAAACAGGGAGAGTAAGAACAGTCTTTGAAAACATCACATTGGTCTAGAACTTAAAGACAGTGATGGAGGAAGCTCTATGAATGTCTAGAGGAAGAGTTCCAGGAAGAACAGTCAGTACAACAAACAAAAAGCAAGAAAATATCTTTGGTTGCTCTAGAGACACTGTTAAGGACAGTATGACTGGAGCAGAATTAGCAGTAGAGAATTAAGAGGCCAGGTCAGAAGTATAAGGGTTGTGTCACTGGGAGGGCCTTACTCTGTGCTCTGAATGAGGCAGGAAACCTAACTTGACTGCAAATTGTGCAAAACTGCAGGGGGCAGGAATAGAGGCTGGGAGACATGTTGGGAGGCTGTTGCAGAGATGCCCATGAGAGGTGGTGATAGAAATGGTGGAAAGTAGTCAGATTATGGTTCTGTTTTAAAGGTGGAGTCCACTGGGATTCCTAATGAATGTGGAGTGGGTTGTGCAGAAATGGAGTCAGGAATAATCCAAAGTTTTGAGCCTGAACATCTGGAAAGATGCAGTTGCCATCGATGGGAGTGGGAAAGAACATGGAGAACTGATTGATTAGGGGGGCGATTAGAAAGTTGTTTGAAATACTACATTTGAGATGTGTATTTGACATGAACATGGAAATATCAAGAAAAGAACTGCAATATGGTTGGAGACCTGGGAGAAAGATCCCAATGCCAATGTGAATTGAGAATAATGGGAATAGAGAGGATATTTGGATCTCAGGGACCAGATTACAGAACTTGGGGTGGGTTATTTAAATTCTCTGAGGCTTAGGTGTCCCACCTGTAAAATGTTGTAGTCATTGGATGTATTTGGTAGGAATTCAGTGCTATGATCACATAGCCATCATTTAGGCTACTTCCATATACTTGGTAAGTAACTAATATTAATTATTGGTAATTACCTTTATGTGCTTTCTTGAACTTTATAAAAATCAATTTGCCTTGAAAATCACTATCTCAAAACATTGCCATGGTGTTAAGAAAAACCAGATATCTAAAGCTAATGCTCCCTGTTCATATGTTTACAGCCCCCTGAGTGTATCAATAAAACAGGTTATCTTCCTGAAGAAACTCAGTATAGCTTTTATGGTCAGGCCCAGAGTAGAGATTTGTCTGGTATTGCAGATAATTCAGAGATGGGCACTAAGGCGAGATTATGAATGGATAGAACTGAATGAGCAGGAAGAAGAGTATTCTGAGCAGAGGGCCCAGCAAAGGAATAAGAAGACACAGTGCCCTGCACAGCATAGCCTGGAGATGGGGTTGGTGGAGCACAAAAGGAAAGGCAGGGAGGCCCAGGATAGAGATGTAGCTAGTGAGGCCAACAGGAATGAAACGATGAGGCCTCATGATGTGGGCCATAAGGAGTCCTTAAAGACTTTTAAAGCTGTATCATCAGAATAGAGTATTTGGATTTTTTGTGGAAGATAGAGGGAGAATAGATTGAGGCTGTGTACCTGAAGGCTGTTACAGCTTTCCAAAAGAGGTGATATCCTCAGTCAACACAACATTTATAGAGTCAAAGAGGAGAGGATGGGTATCAGAGATATGTAGGAGTTGAACCCCGTTGTGACACTGGTTATACCAGCTTTTTGTTCTTCATGCAGTAAAACTGACAGGAAAAATAAAAAATACGCTTTTAAACACAGAAGGATTTTTCATGATAGGATTCAGGTAGAAGCGGTCTATACTCCAGAGATGATCTCTGCCTATTTTTATTACATTTGGAGAAATTAGTAAGATCTTGGAGTTCAGAGAAGTTGAAGTCATTAACTAGCCTCTCATGCACCTATATAGCCCACAACAGCTATGTGAGACTT